CATACGCGTGTAAGCAAACAAATTGTTTATGCTTTAGAGAAATACGCGGCGTGCTAACAAAGTTGCTAAAAATATGCAACATGCAGGATTTAAAAAAAAAAAAAAAAAATTTTTTTTTGGAACATTTGTAAACTTTGCCACACTACATGTTTGTTGCTAAGCGCCGCTAACACAGGACGTAGCATACAAACGTCCTGTACCCGATGTGGGCATTTAATCAATATTAGCAGAGTAACCTGACGACAATAACGATTCGGCGCGTCCTTACTTCCGGAGATTTTGGCTAGTTTCATTTACAACGTTGGGATGCATGGTATCGTATGCATTCTTCAGTCCTTTTTACAAAACACTAACATCCAAGAATTTACGAAACATATGGCTAGCCAGTACGCGCGCACGCACCCGCGCGCTCTAAACCTGCAGAATTCCGCGATTGCATTTCACATCGAATTACGCAACTACCGAGAAACCAATTTAGCGATGCTGTGAAGGAAAGTGCTTTACTGTTCAAGAAAAAAAAAAAAAAAAAAAAAAAAAAACGACCTCCTGCGAGCTGTACGGAGCCTGTGTGTGTGTGTTTGTGTTTGTGTGTGTGTGTTTCTGCACAAACACAGGCTGGTGGAACAGATGGTGATCAGGATAAAGCTGCTTAACGTCAGAAGGGTGAGGTAGCATGGCATCATGCCAGAACGTGCAGAAGAAACGCACACGCACAATAAATCCACCTGTTACTCCACTGATTAGTCACTGATTGTTTAAGATTGATGGAGTTCCTGTGCTCTTCTTTGCAGCCGAATACGGCGAGAAAAGCTGTCCGCAGGGAAACTGCAGCTCGCAGTATCGTCAGAACGCGGTCACTATCATCTTATATGTTCACATAGCCTCTTCTTCCTAATCTTAGGAAACTAACGTATGGTCCAAGTCTGGCCTTCCGTGGTAAATCATAGTGTAATATAAAACATGGATTTTCCTTGATGGCCAGTAAGACTAGTAAGAGTCTTTTCTGCGGTGAACGGCCAACAGAAGGAGCTCGGAAAAAACGGTGCGCGGAGGAAATGAATGTGCCAGGAGCTGGAGTGGAAAGGAAGGAAATCATCTGCACATTATGATCATGAATGAGATTCAGCTGCATTGGCCACTGGGGCTTTGAATAGACATCAGCTGTGCTGATGATTTAACTGAACTCACCGAGAGAACAGGAAGGAGGAATGCGTGTGCAACAGAAATGATTTACTAGTCGTAAATAGCCAGGGAGAAAAAAAAAAAAAAGATATTAATGAAATACAGCCCTACAAAGCCTAAAATATAGGCAAAAAGTTAGATTAAAAAGAAAGGCACAGGTAAAAAAGGGATATATATATATAAATATATATACACATATATATATAAATATATATAAATATATACACATATATATAAATATAAATATATATAGACACATATATATATATATACACACATATATATGTGTGTCTATGTGAGGTTTGTTCAGCAATGTTCGAAAATGTATTCTAACGGTTGATCGCTTGAAAATTACGACGATTTATCTATCCTGTATCATATAAATATACGGTATATAAATAATGCTGTTCAATAATATACATAAATATGACAGTTAGATTCAACTCAAACTCAAAAAAAGGTTCACTACTTATGCTAATTTTTTTATTTTTTTTTTAATCTCTGCTAGTCACAGACGCCGGTGAAAAACGATAGCCAACGTGAATCTCACAGATTGATCCGAGAGAATTTACGACAGAGTCCAAAGAAAAGGCTGTCCTGACAGAGTACCATCTATCTGCATCTGTGTGTCACTGCAGTAACTAACAGTGACTACCTCCTCCTCCTCCGCCTCCGCCTCCTCCTCCTTCTTCTTCATTGATAAAGCATCAATCTTTACCACCCCTTCCTCCGTAACTGTCACCAACTTTTACGAGACGCCGAGGTGCGACGCATCATTCACTTTAAAGCTCCGCCTCCTGATGTAACGGCACGCGCGGAGGACAGATCGGCCTCCTTTTACGGTGTCTGTAAACCGGTGACCTAAGCAATAAGTAAGGGTTTCTTTACAGGCGTAATCGTGAAAAATGAAAAAAAAAAGGGGGGGATTCTAATAATCTCTAGACAAGTTTGAGTAAAATGAGCGCAAAGGAACTAAAACTATTTTTTTTTTGACTCATATAAACCACAAAAAAGTGATAAAAAGGGGCAGCGGTGGCTTAGTGGTTAAGGAAGCGGACTTGGGTCCGGAAGGCTCAGGGTTCGAGTCCACCGAGTTGCCAAGTTAGCACTGAGGTACAAATAATAAATATAATAAATAATTCACTTTCAAAAAATAATTATCACCATCAGTAGGTCTGTTAAAAAAAGGAACAGAAGGAGCTAAAAAAAAACCAAAGAGGAGCAGCATGGTTTAGTCAGCAAAAAAAAGGAAAACTGAACGTTAGCTCAATCCTGTCACAATCTCGTTTGACTGGAATGATCTAACATGCAAATCAGCGGCCGCCACATTCTCTGCAATTCATGGGAAACACTGCTGTACTGTGTGGAATTTTAAATTTAATACAATAAATATTTGAAGGCCAAATAAAAAAAAAGAAAAAAAAAAAGGATTCAGAATTTTTACGTTCAAGTGGGACAGCAGGTTTTGCTGACAGGTCTGGTCCACTGCAGCATCATTTCTTAAGAGTACTTATGTGCTGATATTGAACATCTTCCTGTGATAAGCGAACACAAGATTTTTTTTTTTTTTTTTTTTTACGATGTAATAAACAGATGAGCGAAAACGAGAAACAGGAGCAAAACCAAAAACACAGAAACCAAAACCATTTCATTAAGATTCATTAACTGAGTGCTGCCTATAATTCACCACCATAAATCTGAAACCCTGCAGAATTAAATGCTGAGCTAAAAGAAAAAAAAAAAAAAAAAAAAAAAGGGAAAAAGAAGGGGGGGGGGGGGGGGTGTGAAAAAAAAAACTGGCTAAATTGTTTTCTAAACATTTACTCATATTAAAGATTTAAATCTTTACAAAAAAAAACCCCTGATTTTCCTGCTGTTGCCGCCCTTGGTGATGTCATGCTGGAGATGAATGATGGACCATTAAATAACTACTGAATCATTGATAAGCCCCCAGGCCGCAACTGGATCAACAGGGACCATTACCTAACCATTTATGGGTTAAGGGCCGTAAAAACCAAATGTTCAAAAGGTCTATTTTTTTAGGTTTTATTTTTCTTATTTTTGCCCAAATTCTTTGCCTTGTTTTCATTTTAGATATGAATTTATTTCAATGTCCACAATTTGTACTGTACTGTACTGTAATACACGGAAAAAGACAAAACACAAAGCAATTTCCTATCAAGATAAATCACTAGAGGTGTACGCTGGCGGCTCTCGCGTGGGTTTCAAAGACCACGTTGAGTCCGTGTTAAGTCGTCTTTCCTTTATTTTTTTTCAAAATAAGAGTTGATTTTGTTAATATCCTCTAGGGCAGGGGGTGTCAAACTCATTTCCACCAGGGGGCCACATCAGCAACACAGTTCCCCTTGAAGGGCCGGTTGTAAATGGAAGACGGTATAGATCAGGGAGTTCCCAACCCCCGGTCTGCGGACCAGTACGGTAGGTCATTTGATACCAGGCCGCAGTGGGACACAGTGAAAAAAACTCTACTTAATTTTTTACTAACTTACTTCCTGTCATATCCATTTGCTTTCTCCATTTAGAGATAATCTGGCAAATATTTTAAAATAACACGTATCCAGACTCTGATATAGAATAAAGTCTGAATGTTTTATTTTGAAAATGCTAACAATCCTTCAATGCTCAGTACCTTGATACCAGTCTGTAGTAACAGAAAAAAAGGTTGGGGACCGCTGGCATAGATGTAACTATTTCATAACAGACTAAAACATGTTTCTGCAATTAATTATTATTTCATTGATTATAAAAAAACGTTTTCATTTCTCAGGTTAAGAAACTCCGCTGCATGGACTTTACTAAATTTTTTTAAGCTCCCTCGGGCCATACAAAATGGCTTGGCGGGCCACATTTGGCCCCCCCCGGGGCCTTGAGTTTCACACATATGCTGTAGGGCTATGCAATATCTTGATATTTAGATATCATTAAGAAAACATTGGTTCTGTACTTGGTCTCTTGGTACTTGGTCTACTGGAATCTTTAACGCGGCATTTTATTATCGCTTTAATACCTTCCGACCTTTTTTTTGAAACTGAGAGCTATCTCACGGCTACTAGCTTGATACACGGTTCCTGAATTATGTATTAA